GTTGGTTTTCTTGTGTTCTTTGGCATTAAAGTATTTTTTAGGAATTTCAGCTTTGCTGAAAAGATCTACCACTGTTTGAATGTGTGCTGTTCAGAAAGCTGCGGAATGAGTTTCTTAATCACAGAACGTGTATGAATATATCCGTCTCCTAAGCTATTGCTGGCTCTTTACGGTGTCCTGTTCAGAAAGGTGCGGAATGTGTTTCTTATCACAGAACGTGTATGAATATATCCGCCTCCTAAGCTATTGCTGGCTCTTTACGGTGTCCGCCTCCTGGTGTTGCACAACACTTTGCTGCCTGTCATGATCCTTTATGTACTATTGCTTCCTCTACTGCTTCCAGGCCATTCAGAACAGTAGCATGCAGTTTAAATCAGGTATAGCCCATCTTTGCAATTTCAACTATTAGAGGGTCTGAATCCACATGGTGCTTCTCATGAATCTGTACTACACTGTGTGACACTTTTTTTTTCTTTTTTTTTTTTTTTTGATACAACACACACGTAACAAAAGCTCAGCTTGTTATTTTCTGACCAGTCTTTTCTTCCTTCTTCCCTCTTTGAATTTTGGTCCAGGTGGTAACTGCTGCAAGAGCTTAAAAATAAAAATGAAAGTGTGAAGTGCATTCACTTTTATGGATCTGCAAACAGGGGATATAGGTGGAGGGAAAATGCACCAGTATTTTTTGTCTACCTCGGTTCAACTAATGTCCTCAGCTATTAGTCCAGCTTCAGAGTTGCATGGTACACAAATATTTAAGAAAAAAATAAAGCTTTGGTATTACGAGGAGCCTCTCGGTAAGATCTTGTTGTTATTATCCCATTGCATCTGGCCTGTAGCTGATTTCCGATTTCCTCTTTCTCAGAAGCTCCTTGACCACTGGCAGGAAATGTGCTACAGATAGATAAAGAAGTTGGCAGTTGTCCTGTACTGTGAGAGTCTGGAGCACACAGCTCATCTTTGGTGGATGAGGACCTGCAGATGAAACACTGGCTTTGTGGAAAGAGGTGACATCAGACACCTTCACCTGTCCTTGAGAGGTCCCTGGAGAAAGAGCAATTTGGAGATTTCCCATAAATCCATCCCTAAGCACTCACATTTATTTTTAAGAAGGTTATGCAAAGCATAGCAAGGAGCTGCCATGAGAAAATTGGGTGCCAGGTGCCCCATATTGCTTTCAGTCTCTCAAATGTCCCCTCAGCTATCACACCACTGCTCCCTTGGGAAAGGACACATTCCTCCTCCTGTCCCTGCATTTGGTAAAAACAGCTTGACAAGTTCTTGCTGTCCAAAGCAAATATTAAGACCAAATATTTGACCAGAGAGGGAGAAAAATCTCTTGTCCTTTGCAAAACATTAAGATAAACAACAGTGACACACCATTCCTTATAATGAGAGGCTTTTAAAATATCTGTGTGTGTGCACTGCACCTGGAAATGTGGGTGAGGGCATCAGAAGTACAGTCATCTTGTATTAGTAGAAGCTAACCTGGGGAGATACAGGGAAGTTTCATCTATTCAAAATATGTTCTTTTGCAGCTACCGTGGAGTTCTCAAAGCTGGGGGGAGTTACTGTTCTTGTTTTTCTTTATGTGGAAATCACTTGACCCTGATTCCCTTATTGTCCCTCTCTGGGTATTACTGTTATTAGTGCAATAGTGGAATATTTCTCCCTAAACATTACTGCAGAAAAGGAAATAATTTCTTATTTCTATTTTTTTTCCTCCATAGAGATTCTACTTTAAAAATAGATTTTAAAGGACAAATACTATGTTTAAAGACTCAGATAGAAATGAAAATGATAACTGATATAGAGCATGAAGAAAAACAGTATTAGGAGCAGGTCACAAAGCAGGGAAAAATCCATATGTATTTAAGGAGGTGTGCCTAACAGTCCAACTGAAAAGAAAATAGAGAAAAATGCTTCAGACAAGCAAGAAGATTTCAAGAGCTCACTTTGGCTGCACAAAAGACAGCTGATATTTTACCAGGAGCTACTAATTGCTCCATAAATTTTTTAAAAATACAACAAAACAAAACAAACAACTTGATCATAGTTATAGAGAATTAACTCTCTATAAGGTGAAGCTAAATGAACCGAGTGAGGTTTTTTTGGTCTTAACCAAAAGTCAGAATCACAGAACCAGAGTGATCCACTGCTGCAAAGAAGCCAAATATGGGTGTTCCCTTCAAATCACTTCAGAAGGAAAACATAACTCTCTAGAGACTGGGAGAGAGGAGAACAAGGTAAGTGGGAGCAGGTGTAGGGCATCCTGATCTAGTGAGGGTTTAAATGTAGCCTGATGTAAAAGATGAGCTTTTCAGGCAGAGTAGAAGTGTTGATGGGGTGGAGAGAAAACAAAAGTGATAAGAAAGTTGGTGTAGCAAGCTCAGCAGAAAGAAGACCAAAGGTTTTATACTGTTGTTTACCAACTCTTTGCTGTCAGGCCTGAGGGGAGATGCATCATGCCATCATAAGGTACAGATGGCATGGTCTACAAAATAACTGTGGGGCTTGCCTTATAAACACAGTCTTAGTTTTTCTAAGCAGCTGAGCAGAGCTCTGTGCTGCAGGTGCAGTGTGTGCTGCTTGGACATATCATTGCCTTGCTACTGCTTTTCAGACTGCAGAAACCACAGTGTTTTCATGCCTGAGGGTCTTCTGGGCCATCTCGTCCTGGGTAAGACCTGCCTTTTTCTGTTAAAAAGAAGCCTTCTTTCTTTGCTGGATCATTTTACCCTCTTGACAGCAAGAGAGCTCTGGGCTAGCAGTGCTGAGGCAAGCTTTCATGATCTGATGGACCACGTGTCCTGGCATCCCAGCTGGCATGGGATGGATGTGCTTCAGGGTACCCTTGGTTATTTATTGTTGTCACATGTATTGAGAAGGAGACATGTTTTGTCAAATGAATTTATTACAAGTTTTATTGGTGTTCCTGTGGAAAAGCTCACGTAGTTTCTTTCAGTCAAGGGAAAAGGCTCATGTGACAAGGGCTCAAAAAACCTCCGGTGAGCCTGGGGCTGGCAGTGATGGATGGCAGATGGGTATGGGAAATGGTTAAGGTGAAGAATGAGATGAAGTGGTATCAGCACACTTGTGGATGTGACTGGCAGCATGTGGCTTAACGTGGTTAAGCACCTCTGAATGAGGTGGGGAAGCTGTTGGTATGAGAAATGTGTTTGCCTGTCCACCCCTTAATTCCTTCTCCACCAGATGAGTCCCACACAGCCCTCAGTTTCAGGCACACAGAGCTCATCTTCTTGCAAAGCTATAAATTCTTTTGGGTTTTTTTTGTTTTTTCCCCCTTCTCTAAACTGTCTGTCAAGTGTCACTGCCTTCCCATCACTCTCCTAACAGTTTCTTTGAGAGGGTGATGGTAGGGCTGCCCTCTGTTACATTTTCTGCTTTCTCTCTGCCACATCAGCCACTGCCCACTGGGACTTTGGCCATCTTGGGTGGCCTCGCTGCCTTGTACATTGGTCTTACTGTGGCTTGCAGTGGCTCTTTCTTCTCTTTCTGTTCTCTGGTTACTTTGCAACATCACAGGAAGAAAAAGACTGACCATTACATTAGTCATACCGCCAAAAATATTGCCAGAGAGATATGTTTGCTGAATTTTGAGCTTTGAATTTAAGGGCAAAGGTTTTTGTCTTTGTTTTTCTTTCATTCTATCAGAAGAATTGAGGAGAATAGCTGGGAAGATGGGGTCAATATTCCTGCTCTCATGAAAGTCTAAAAACATATGGCCTTTGCCAGCACAGCTGCTTTCCTGCCACCATGGACAATCGAGAGTGAAGCTCAAGAAGTTTTTTCAAAGAAAAATGCAGTGGGAAAACTTTACTATTTACGTAGTTTTATTTCCAAGGGCAAAATGAAAAGTTGCACTGTATTTCAGCTTGGTTTGACCTATACGGCCAACCAAACAAGAAATAAATACCCTTTTGGGGTGAGTTTGACATTAGATCCCTCTTGCCTCAGTAGCTGAAGTGTGTCAACCTCCTGCTTCTCTTTCTTGGCCCAGATTCCTGGTGGTACAAAGTTTCTTGAGCAGCAGCTCAGTTGTCTTGCTGGTAGAGTAAACAAGACAAGTTAGAGGGAAGTACAAAAAATCATTTGACAGTGCAAAACAGGGTAAAGCTACTGTAAGAACTGATGGATAGAGGTTAGCTTTATTTTGGGTCAATATGAAGTGTTTTGTATGGTTGTTTTGTTGATTTTTTTCCTAGCAAAGAAGATGAAATGTTACAGTTTGAGAGTATCAAATATATTGGTGCTTACTGAGAATGGAAATCCAGATAATAAACAGATATTACTGCAGGGGTCTGTGCATGCAGAACACCAGGCTGGAGTCGTAGTGCTGAATTACATTGTTAGTCCACAACTCTGATCCCTTTGCTCCTACATCTTTCCTCACTGTGGGTGTGTTTGTTTGTTTGTTTTTCCCCCTGAGACTTCAGATACTGAATAGAGAGAAACTATTTTTGTTGCTTCCAGATGACTATGTGCAGCAATGGGTGCCATTCAAGTTTGAATGGAGGGGACTAGGCTAACGTGGCTGGCTTAAGATAATATTTTTTTGTGAGTAAAGAGAGATATCAATGCTGTTCTTTGCTAATTTCACCTCTAATTATTCTTCTATATTCCACTCTGACAAATCCATGCTCTGTGTAAATTCCCACCACTCCCTCTGCCATGGGGCTGCAGACATTGTTGTCTTCTAGCTGTCACACTAGCGATCTGCTCCTCCACTAAAGTGAAAGTTTGGTTTAAAACCATTTTCATTATAATTGTGTGTGTATTCTTGTGCCTGTATGGGAGAAAGGTGCCTTCTTAATTTATTCAGAGCTTTAAATTTTGCCGTGGTGACAAAGGGGAAAAAAAAATTTAAAAAAATCTATATATACTCACCTAGTTTTTGGTTAACTCTCGGAGGTCTTGTGTTTGGTCGCCGTGTAGGTCAGAGTCTGGAGGAGCAGGCACGTGACTGTTGTTGTTTCCTCATGCAACGCTGAGTATTTGCACAAGAATTTCATCATCCTCTCTCAGGAACGGCTGCCAACTGCAGGGTAATGTGGTTTCACTGTGGAGGGGGAAAAGATGAGTTTTACATGTAAAATTACTTTTAACACTGAAACACTTCTTGACATGAAGGTCAATATGTGCCTAAATTGCTCTAAGTAACTGAGTTTATTATAATTCCTCTCTGTCACATTCCCTTGCTGCAGCTGTGACACAGTGCTGTGTAACTTATTTAATTATAGTTGTGTTTGCTGCTATGTGCCTGTTGTCGGCTGTGCTATGAATATTTAGATTTTTCTTTCTCTGCAGTTCTGTAATTTAGACAAATTCACTGAAGTGTATTTAACCTGAAGTAATCTACAATGTGTGTTGCTTTGGGCTTTGGTTTTTTTGGGGAACTTCCTTCTGCAAAATGATATTCACAAAAGCAATTTTCTTTGTGTGAAGATGGGAGGGAGAATAAGCCTTTACGCACTGTGTGTTTCTGGAATTATTCTCTGTTTGTTTTTTAAAAACAACTTCAATCCCCGGTGCTATTGGTGCTTTCAGTGGGTGTATTTTGACAGCGTGGACCTACACTGCAAACTTGCACACTTATACCTACGCAAACCCTTAGTTTTCCTTCCAAAGAGTTCATTTGGACGCTAACCTGGAAATGTCAAAGGTCTGTGGGCTGAGCTGCGTTTAGCAACCTGGTAAACAGCTATTGGAGGGCAGAAAGTGCAGGGCATGCTATTTCCATGATAAACTCTTATTCTCTGAGGATATTGATAAGCTTTTTAAGTAGGGATTCATTGTACGCCTGTCAGCACTCTGCTGGGTAGAAAGACTGTGAGTAACATCCTGGAATAATTAAAGAAAATGTTTAAAGGGGGGCTGAGAGGACTTTACAGGGTTGATTTTTTTTTTTTTTTTTTTTAATAAAGACATCAAGATATAATTATAGTTGGAGAGTAGATCTATAAAAATATTGTAAGTAGATCTAAAAATAGGACAAATTATAATTCTCATAATTAAGCCTAATGGACCTTCCTGTGTAAGTTTGATAAGATGGCTTGCTAATATTCACACTTTTTTTTTTCTATTTAGTCAGTAAATTATGCATAAAGGACAAAACAGAAATAATCACCCAGACATTCGCGTCACTTGTGTCTGACTAACTCTCATCTATTGTATTTTATAGTTTTAAAATGGGAGATGAAGTACTGGGGCTGATATCTGTGCTGATAAAATATGGGATGATGACTGTTTTCTTAATTTAAGTTGCATATGATCCTTTTGAAAAGGAAAGGTTGCCAAGAGCCATTGGTGAGTTTTTTTTTCATTGAATCAGCATGCAGTACAGGCAAATTCTATGGAAGACTAAAAAAGCAAAGAGAGAGTGGAAAAAAAATGCTGACTTCATGTCATCTATATCTATTAAGTCAGAAAGTGTAATAAAGTTTCAAGGAAAGGAGAAAGAAAATGCCTGAAAGCTTTTTTTCAGAGTAGGTGGTGGAGGCAAGTTGTTTCTCTTAAAATGTTGATTATTTTTACTGTAAGTTGTATGAAAAGATCCTGATAAGGAACTATGTTTATCAAAGTGAGAATTACATTTTGCACTCGTGTCTGAATTTTAATTTGAAGAGGATGTGGAATAGTTTTCAGTTTAATGAAGATAATTGGATGGAATAAAGGTGTGCTGTTCTTACACAATCATATTTGCTCCCCATGTAGGAAACAAATGACTCATGAATTATTGTAAAATGATTGCAGGGGACTCTATTCTGCAGCAATCAGAAAAGACAATAACGGCAGTCAGAGTAATAGGAAAAAAAAATACAAGGGAGGAAAAAAACCAACAAAACAAACAAACAACCCCAAACCCAAGCAATTCTGGAATTCAGTCTCTATGAAGCCTAATTCCAATTCAAAGGACAAAAGTACTTTCTTATTCTGGTCTCAGAATTGGATCTCTGGGATTTCATTCCTCAATAGGATTTTGATTGATTTTATTTTAGTAGTTTTATCTTATTTCATAACATTTGTATTAAATCAGATACCTCTGAGCACTTAATCATTTTTAGTTTCTAGATCTTTGTACTTAATATTATATTTTCTGTCAAAATTTAATATAAATAAGAATCACAATAAACGTAAGTCATTGATCAGATGCAGCAAACTACAGCAATGACAGGGAACCAAAAACCTGATCCAGAAATCTTTGTCTGTAATAGAGACACCTATTGACTTCAGTGGGTTTCAGGTCAGGCCTCAAATGGAAACAAAACCCATCTCTGCTTGCCAGGCAGGTCAGTAGATGACCTGGAATATGATAGCCATTAATCCACTGTAATAACTGTATGTCCTGACTGAAAAATGGTGTCTATTAAGACAAATGGTAAGATGCTGTGCTCTGTTCACATGGTGTAAAGCCAAGAATCTACAGACCAAATGAGGGGTGTGTTGTATAACACCAAACTGACCTTTAAGCACCCTTATCATTCATCTGTGGATCATAAATTACAGAGGAATTAGCTGGTATTGCCTGTGTGGGTCCCAGGAGATAAACTTTGGAGCCTCCCAAACCTTCTTCATAGGCTGTATCCAAGACAGGACACAGGTGACTGCATGCCAATGCTGCATGGTCTCTCACCTAGGGACTGGGGCAGCTGAGCATCACTGAACAAATATTTCTAACTCAAGTGAGTCATCTGTTTGGAGAGATTAAAAGGTGCCTTCCTTTACTTCAGGAGAAATGTTACTGGGGAGCAAAATAAAAACAACCCCAAAACAAAAACCCAGGCATTAACTTAGGTGGGAAGGAGATTGTGTAGAAAAGACTACACAGACTACTGGGTGATCCTCTTATCTGGAAGGAGATCTGGTTTCCAGTTCCTTCTCTAAGGTTTTTTTCCATAATTTGCATTAAGTACTCATTATTAAAAATAGAGGTCTATATCTTGATTATGTAAGTATGTACTGGACACAGTTCAATAATGTCTATGGGATCAGGACACCCCTGCTAGTGTTGTAAAGCTTTTGTAAACAAAAAGTAGTATCAGTAGTAGCTGATCCGAGTATTGTTTAAACTCTGATTTATTGATTAAGCCCATAAGTTCTTAAAATTCATAATTTGGAGAAGGGAAACTTAAGTTACTTTATAGTGTCTTTAGATTATAACAAAGTGCCTGCAATAGTGATGGCCATAGTGTTTGTGAATCTAGCTTGGCTCTTTAGGTATTTCATAACATCTTCTGGATGAAATGAAGGTCTCTTTAACCATCCTCACTGATGGCTGTTAAATGAGGTCCAGAAGGTCGACACTCTTCTGACCTGCAGAAAAGCACAAATGTTGTTACCAATACCCCAGCAGAGGAGCTGGCAGAGGCAAAGTCTTGGATCTGTTGTTCAGCTGTGGAGGAACTGAGAAGTGGTTCCCTGGGAACAAGGAGCCTGGTCACAGCTTCCACAAGTCTTTCAGTGGAGTGGCAGCTCTTCAGGAGGTGACTGGTTGAGTGTATTAATTCCAGCCAGCTCAGCTGCTTTAGCATCACACACAGATACTTGTCTAGGTGTAGCCCTCTGCCTCCTTGAAGCTTTGAAATAAACTCTGAGAACAAAGATGTTAAAATATCTTTTTGCAACCGTTTTTGCCATTTTATTTCCCTTTTTGCTAGGTAAGGGAGGATTAGGACAAATGGTAAATTTGGTGACAGTGAGGAGGTGTGAACAACCTGTGTGGAGACAGCACAAAAATAGACTATCTCCAATAGCTCCCAGGAGAGGGTGAACATTAGCTAAATGAAAACTGCTGTCTTAAAGAGCTCTACTGGTATTTTTTTTTTTTTTTTAACTCTATGTGCTGTTGGGAGAGGAAAAATTGCTTCTATGTAAGATATCAAGTCTGGAGAGGAAAAAGAAAATGCTCTCATCGTAAGCTAAATGATAGCAAATTAAACCAGGTAACTAGCATCATGCTGGCCATTTGACTAGAGTATAAACAGGTTTGGATTAATTGGCACTAATGAGGCTGTGCTATTTAGGGGTTTATATTTAAATACCAACTGTTATCCTTCCCATATGGGTTGATGAAGCTCTTATAGATGGCCTTCAGAGATTAGCATAAAAAAGTTGATAAAAACCCTATCTGCATTTACATATTTGTACCAAAAAGAATAAAGACAAATGTGTTATAAGGGATTTAATAAAAAAAAAAAATAAAAAAAATTATAACTTGGAACATAACTTCACAGTACCTCTCAGAACCTTCACACTAACTCTACAGAACCCCTCTTCCGCAAAAACCCAAGCTAGGTTTGAGTGAAAATGAACGTAATGCTCAGCTGGCTGCAACCAATATAATAATTTATTGTTCTCTCCACAGCTTGTTTCTATATCACTGTCTGTAATATACCACTGGTTTTAAGAAAAAAGAGCTGGTACTTATGGAAGATACGTAAAGAGTCTTATTTCTCAAACACAGGGGAAAAACCTATATTCTCTAGTGCTTCTATGCTGTGTATTGTGTGTTAATCTTGTTCTATTTCTGCCTATGGAGTTTTTCTGTTTCACCATAACTCTAGGGGATGTTTAAAAAGGTAGAGAATATTGTGTGATCTAACTATACAGTTACCTAAACAGAGGAAATCGCCAAGCACCTCAGTGAGCCTCTTGACTGCCTTCTGCAACAAAACACAGCAAGCAGCACTGGTCTAAAGTAGAGAGTCCATGTCATAAATTTTCTTTGCTAATAGATCTGTAAAGCCAAGTGCACAAATGCTATCCTGAACACAATGTTGTCTCTGAGCATTGCAGTTACAGAGTTATTCTTCTTACAAAGATCAATATGCTTGGAAATTTTGCAGTTACAGTTTTGGAAGTTCTGTGAGAAACTATGGTCTGTCATGTTTGTAGCTTGACTTGGTCTTCTCTTCTTTCCCGGGACAAATGGGACTGTAACACCAGGGTATTTATTGTAGCTAGATAGAAATATTAATTCAAGGTTCCGGTCTTGAAAGCTACATTTCTAATGATGCCTTTGCAATCTGTATCCTGTCTGCTCTGCCTTTGTACGTGAGCATGGCTGTACACAAACACCCCCTCCTATTTTTAAGAAAGAAAAGCTGAAAGAGGCTGAATGTTGCACAGCCTGGAAACAACTTCAGAGTAGCGGTGCACCTGCTATTTTTAGGAGCACAGACTGCAGAAACAATAGTGCTGCCTCTGGCTTTGAGATCTCAAAATTGTGAATGACACTTTAGCGTTTGTAACTGTTGTCAGTCTGGTGGGAGAACTTAGAACATGCTGATATAGCTTAAAAAGGGAATGACATTGTATCTACAGAGGAGAAAAAAAAAACAACCTTTGGGGTTACAGCAATATGTTGCCTTGGAAATACTTGAATTGATCAATTTTACTATTCTTTTCAAATACTTCCCTTTCTAAAATCTTTACATTAAATAAGTTTAGGTCTTGAATGATGCAGCTTTAGTGGCTGCTTATCAGCCACTTGTGAATATGCATACTGCAGAAATTAAACTGTGGAATTTTTCGTTTTAAGGTGAAATGAAATGACCTGAAAATGGATCCATCTTCTCCTGTGTTACCAGCAACCATTTTAGAACAAGCTGCCCTGCGGCTAGGATGCAGTCCCACAGACAAGAAACTTGCTCTTCACTTAGATGAAGAAGATGAGTTAAAGCATCTTCGTGAATGTTTCTTTATCCCAAAAATCAAGGATCTGCCTCCAAGTGAGAATTATAATTACAGTGGGGGAGCAGGGGGAAAGGGTGGGGCTTCACATCTTCTGCATGTGTTTGTCACAAATCTCTGAAAATCATTGTCACTTATGAGATAATTGAGCAACTGCAGTCATATCCGAGCACAGTATGTCCCTGATGTTGCTAAATCAATCCATCAACTTATTTTAACACCAAAAGCTTTATGCTCTCATTCCCAACCTGAATAAAATGTGAGGATACAGTACTTAGATAGTGCTTATGCTGTCAGTCAGCTGCTTTGAACAATATAGTGACTGATTGAAAATTATAGGCAGAAGCATTTCTATCTAATGGTTTGAAATGGCAATGCAGCTTGCAGTAGTTCGGAGTAGTTGATTCCTTGGAATAATATAGTTTGGTATTATCTATCCAGTTACAATTATTCTAGTTAATGAAAGAGATGGTACATATACTATATTAACATTTATACATTATTGCTGGTAGTAGAGATGATTTTTTTCCTGAGGCCAAAAGGAAGACTTTGCCTTAGGAAAAATAATTGATCTGAGTAAATAATTCATAATGAAATCTTTTATTTGAAGATCTTTCCTAGTTTCCTCATGAATTGCCTACAAATAGATAACTACACGTGGTTTCAATGCAGCTATGCAAAATGGTTCCCAAAATTTTTCTGCTTCATTCCTGGTCTATAGATTGTTTTGAGGAGCCTATGGCCTACCTGGGCATGGGAGCAGGGGTACCTTTGATTTATTAAGAGAGGACTTGGTAGGGAGGCAGGAGGCCTGGCAAGCCAACAGGGCAGCATTTGCTTCTAGTTAGCACTCCCAACCCAGCAAAAATACAAAATATTTCCACGGGTATTTTTGCACCCACCACTGCTGCTGTGTCTGGGCAAAATCATGCAAGGAAACCTGGTGGGAGCACCCACCTATGGAGACAGCATGGGCCTGGACTCTTCTCCTGTTTCCCAAGTCCTGTCTGCATTTATTTTCAGCTCACATGTCAAATACATGGGGAGCAAAAGCTGTCCCTACTCTGCAGGCTCTGGTCATCGCTCACTAGAAACTGAAGAAATGGTGAATTATTTCCTTAGGTGTTGAATATATACAGCCATAGTCATTCCCCACCTTTTCTGCCCTGGTAAAAAGCATCTATCCAAAAGTAAAGGAAAAAATATCCTAGAACTTTCTTGCAAAGTATTTTCATTTTCTAATAAATGCAGATACAATGACCTGCAGATTTTATTGTTTTTTCATGAAAAAAAGTGTACTGATGGTACATGAGAAATTACAGGTACATTCGGCAAATTATGTCCAGTAAAGATTTGTGATTGAAAATGGTATAAATTGTCTGAATTCCTGGACAACTTTGGAAGTTGTCTTTGTCTTCAGTATCTTTACACCTAGAGATGATGAATGTTGGGAAAGCAGTCTGCTCATGTCCTTATGAAGGGAGTGATAAATCCTAGTTTTCTATGTGCTGGTGGTTTATCTTTCCCCACACTTAAATCATTGACTTCTGCTATTTATATTATTCAGAGGAGAACTGGACACTTTACAAATATTTAAACTAGGTGCTTCCTCCACACGGAGGAGGTGTTCTCAGCCTACTTGCCAAGAAGTAATTAATTTTTCCCCTTTGGTTGCTTAAGAAGGCTTCCTAAACCCCATCTGTTTGTTTGGGTATGACTAGTCTGTACTCAAAGCCACTTCAGCTGTCACTGTGCTGCTGCAAAATGTCCCTCTGAAGCTGGAAAGATGCTGGAAGGCAGCTCATGTGGCCATTGTGCTGCTGTCCTTAATCCAGCTGTGCTGTTGAAATCCAGCTTAACCAGGAGACCTGAACTACGGCCATGTCTTTGACTGCAGCACGTGAAATGTCTCTAAAGAATACGAAAGGTCACTTTTCAAGTATAGTCTTCAGATTAAAGAATCTTCTCAGAAGTATGTCGAGGTTTTCATACCCCTGTGATAGTTTTCATTGCTTCCCTTCCCAACTTGGTTACAGTTTGTTTATCAATTACTGTAGCATTTAGACTCAGACTGCTGATGTGTTTGTTTTTGTTTTTTCCCCCATTTACTAAATATTTAGTCTTGAGACAGTGAATACATATATTTTAGTGAAGTTAAGCAGTGTACTTAGTAGTACCTGTTGAACAGCACAGAGCTGTGGTGTTCAGAGCAACCCATTATTCTTGTGTTCCCAAATTGAGGAGGTTTTTTTTCCCCCTCATTTTTCCCTTGCCTCTCTTTTCTGTGCTTCAGCTGTCATCGGGAAATATATATATATTTACACTGTGTGTCTATACGATAGAGACAGATCTCCCATGACATTTATCTGAGCACAGGAGTGGATCCTAGATAACAAGCTTCTGAAGATAAATGTCATTACAGATATTAGCCATCAAATATTCTTTATATATTTACATAAAACATTACAATGAGGTTTTAAAATGAAGCCTTACAAGACACAGATGGGAACATGCATAGGAGACAATTGTAAGATTATATACATAAAAATATTTAGAAAGTCATTATAATATTTTAATTTTGTTATCAACTTATAAACTGTCACAGCTGTTTATTTGTTATATCGATCAAGTGGAAACCTCTGGCAGAATAACTCCATGGCATATCTCTGGGTTTTTATGTGCACACATGAGGGATGAGGCTCAGGTGAGCAAATAGGAAAAGATGACAGCAGAAGATTTAGAGAAATGTCTGGATCTCCTTGCTCTTCTCCAAGATGACAACAAAATCTCTTTAACTTTTTTTTTGTGCACTGGGGAAGGGTAGGAATGACCAGATTGCAGTTGGCAGTCGGGCACCAAATCACCAATCTGATTAAGGCTGTGGCTTGTGCTTTGTCATCTTGTAAAGGAATAGAGCATCATTTGGGTTTCTTGGGAATAAAAAGATGTCCCAGAATGAAAGTGTTGAACTATATTTCCCTGAAGAGATGGTTAAAGGTAGTGGTTAATCTTCTAAATCTGGCTCTTTGTTTGGAGGGCTTGTGAGGGTGGTATAGGAAGGTGTGGAAGAGGTGATCTTTTATCCTTCAACAAGGAATAGGACTCAGATCATGTATAAACAGATTTAGTCCTTCCTTTCTGGTTAATAAAGACATTTTATTTTTCACTTTTGTTTGGACCAAATATTTCTGAAAATTAATTTGCTTTTTCTTTGACATTAAAAGGTATAGAAATATATCTTTAATGTAGATGAATGAGTATATTTAGTATACAAAATAATATACATTATTAGATCTGACCAGTTTGCATGAATCTGACCAGGTGTGAGAATAATTTATAATGTAACTAATTAATCTTAATGGAAATTATTGCTCATGTATTTTTTTGTTCAGGCTACTCAAAGGACACACTTCAGCAATTGTCTCCTGTTTATTTTGCACCAGCCTTTAATTCATCAGCTGTGTTTATTTCTTATTTGAAAATTTCAATGTATATTGCATGTCAACCACATCTCTTTCAGAAATAAAAAGGCCCAATACTGTGAGAAATTAGAGTAATTTGGGGAAAGATAAGTGCTAGTCTTAAGAAAACAAATGCATTACTGTAAAGAATATCACAGTGACAGAGGAAATATCAGAGTGCAACGGTGTGCTGGTCAGGAAAAGTTGTGAAACAAGGATGCTGCAAAAAACAAACCTAGCTTGGGAAGCAGCAATGGTCCAAAATGAATCTTTTAATGATGCCAGAGACGGGGAAAGAAACGTTTTTTTGTGAAAAGGAAAAGAGTACAGCTCAATACAAAGTTGATAACATGCTGAAAAAAAGAATATCCAAAGTAACAGGTGTAAAAGTAGAAAAATACACTTTGTCAATGTGGTAATGCCATTGTTCTCCAACAGTGACCCAAGAGGCATTTTTATTTAGAAAGGACTGTGGTCCAAGAAAAGCTAACTTGCTTATAATTCCTGTACCTGTTTTAATGTTTGACTGGAGTATAAAGAGTATTAGTGAGCCTGAGCTCCAAATTCTTGAGCAAAGATCCTTCTCTTTATTCCCAATGACACTGTATTATTGTGTTTCTTGGTAGGAAAAGAACTGTTAATAGAACTAATTTAGGGGCATGGATAATATTTATGCCTCTCTGTTTTCATTCCTATTAGAATAGAGATGAAAAACAGACATAGTATCTGTAAAACAGATTAGGCCGAAATTGCTCTGCAACTTAGGCTTTTTAAAAGCTTCTAAAGCATTAAATAAGAAATTACCCAAGTTGTCTATACTTTTGAAAAATTTGTTCCTGGTGAAGTTCAATGAAGTTGGTAATTGTTAGTGCAAAAGGTTGTAAGAGACCTTCTCCAGGCATCTAATCTATTTTTTTATAGCCCTAGCATAAAATTTTCAGACAGAAATGCAATCTTATAATTCCTTTCTAGCATATATCTTAACATATTTGTTAATTTGATCTTTTTTCTTGAAGTATATTGACTCTATTTACAAAAAATATATGTAATGTTAGCTTTTGAGGTATTGTAAATATATGTACAGATGAATGTAAATTACTTCTAGAAGGTCACCATCACTTGTCCCTCCAAGAATCTCTAACATGAGAAATAATAGAAAAAGGCAATGTTTGGATTGATAGATGATGACATAGGGTAATTAGATTGTTCAGAACCTCACTAGAGCTATTATTTATAAATTTCTACCGCCTTGCTTTTCTCCTAATCATTGAAAGGATTTGTCAACATAGATTTCCTCCTCAGATGATGACATGAAGTGCAGCCCACAATATATGCTGACAAGACAAGAACTTTTGAGACTGCCTTAAAATATTCTGTGCAATGACTACATTTTTCTTAATAGTGATTTAATCATGCAGGCAGAACTTACGTGAAAGACACAGATTTACCTAGTCTTAACTTTTATTAAATGCACAATTCAAGTAGTTACGTGACTCGGAGTAGGAATATATTGATGATGGAAGAAAAGTGGATAGCCTGGGTGGGGAAAGTGCTCCCTCTTTGCTCACCATCGGCTACAGACCTGACAAAATCGGTGCTGTTGGCTGCTTCCCATGCTGCCCCAGAGCCCTGGGGACTTAACACTGCCTGAACTCACATTAGCACAGGGACAAGCATAGATGGACTCAGCCTAAAATTGCAGGAGGATGTGGGGAATAACTGCTTGCAGATTGCCTGGCTGTCTTACTCCTTAGATCCCTTTGCAGGGTCACCTGTGTGGTGTCCTGGGAGGAAGGTCAGGATGTGGCATCTCCATTTGCATGTGGGGACCACAGTGTGCCACGGATCATGGAGCCCCAGGATGGGCAGAACTCTGGGTGGTGGCACATGTGTGTGTGCTGTCCCTCCTGTGCTCACCCTATGTGCAAGTTGTTTCTGTGGTTTCCCTCCACAGCTGATCTGAACCTGGTGAATGGAGAGGAGAGCTGCTTATACTTTGCTGGCAATTCTCTCGGGCTCCAGCCAAGGAAAGTTAAAACTTGCTTGGATGAAGAACTGGACAAATGGGCTCGAACGTGAGTACACCTCAGGGTATGTGAGATGCTAACCTGTGCTTTAGATAAGTACTTCATTTTATTTCAGGATCTGCCTTGGAAACACTTGAATAGAAGAATAGTGTGTTAAAACCACTATAGCACAGGAGTAAAATAAGTTCAGTGCTTCCCTAGCACTTAAAATTTCTTTCAAGGCATGAGCAGTAAAACAGGCAAAGAGACACTTCCAGCTGTGATAACCTGTGCTGCACGTGATGGCTCCCCTTTAGCTCATCTAAAGGACCTGCACAGTTTAACCATCCACATCCAGTCGCCATGTGTGTTTATCCACAAGACACACAAACACATTTGATTGCTGCTGCTTGCTGGTGAACATGATTCAGTTTCAGGCCCCTGTGATTTTCTAATTAGTATTATGAACTGCGTGTGATCCACCTTGCAGGCCTTGAAATGGGCAGTTCCCCTTGAAATAGCACCAAGTGCAGGTGGTGCTGCTGCCAGAGCTGGCAGGTTTTTGGCTCTTCTTAAACCCAGTCTCTACCTGACAAGTTCATTTTATTTAGAAAAAAGCATTCCTGTCTTCTCAGGAGCATCTCAGTGAGGAGATGAGAGTAGATCACAATAAGTTCTGCCAAATGGAGCTGATGAAGGTTGGGCAGGAGGACAAAAGAGGGACATATTTCAGCATTGCAGGAAAGGGGTGTTGACATTGTAGTGGATGGGAAACTTTTAGATATATAAGGGAGGAAAAAAAGCTTTTTTAAAAAAAATATTATATTTTATTTCCATGGAGAGTCTGTGCTTTGAGATGTCCAGCAGCTGCTTGAGCAACTGGAGCAGGGATGAGGAAAAAGAGAAGTAAAAACCAAGGAGTTGAAGGTAGGAAAGAAAATAACATCCAGATGACTGAGTGAGTTGGGAAAGAGAGATGAACAATTTTTATAGAGTGCAGAATATGAAAGGAACTGATGTGATTTCATGATGAGAGAGCAGAGGAAATATGGGGAGGCAGAAGAGGAAAAAGTAATTCTGCTAACTGGGCAGTCTTGTTTCAGTAGAAACAGTCTAGATGGAAGCTTCAAAATGTAAATGTGAAAACTCTGTAGCTGCTGTTTCACTTCTTAGTATATGAATGCTGTGGGTTAATAAAAATGGTTTACTGCTTGCTATTTATTACTTGTATTCTTATAAGTGAGAAGAAGATTGAGAATGAATGGGAATGAATGTGAACTTTAGGAAGCACTTGTTCTTCCTGGTTACTCATTCAGCACAGCGCTGCAGTTTCTCCAGTCATTTGAAAAAAATTGCAACCCTCTCTATTTCTGTGTGATTATTGTACCTTTCAGGGAAACAGCTGAGCTCTTTCAAAAGGTAAAAGTCAGATAGCACTCTTATCTGTTAGTGATGCACTGGGAGTGCAAACATGTTTCAGCTTCTTCACTGTACCTTTTCCTTGGTTCACTTCCATTCTGATGTTTGCCTTTGCTACAGTGAATGATGTTTATAACGATGATTATAAAAACCTGAAATAAAAGGGTAGGCAGCGTGTTTCTCCAGAAGATCAAAAGTGCCTTTATTAGCTTTATTTAAGGGGGAAATATGGCTGAATGTGATTGTAAACCATCAGGAGAGAGGGACCAAATCTAGAAAATTTGTTTGCTAAAAATACAGCTTTGGCCCAAACACCTTGCATGGAATAAATCAGAAATTGAAAAAAACAAAACCAAAAGCAAAACCAAACAAACACAAAAAAACCCCCTAAACCAAAACAAACAAAAACCCTAAACCAAAACAAACCCAAACAAAACCCAACAGGAACCCAGAACAAAATCTCGCTAGCTGCACATGTACCTAAGGCAATGGAGAGAGTCAAGGTAAGGTCAAGTTAAATTTGAACGGAGCAGTTTATGCTTAAAGAAGCTGATGGGTGGGATCATGTGCTGGCGGCTGCAAAGGAATAGGTGCTTGGAGATGCACAAATGGATGCTTTTATCCCAGTCACCAAGGACAGCTTAGCAAAACCCAGTTAAAGGTAGTAGCTGTTAGCAGCCAAAGTGTGTTCAATGCTTGTAAGTTGGCAGTGTGGAAATCAGTGGCTGTGGCTTAGATAAATAAGTAGAAAGAATTTAAGAAACAGAATGCAAATTAGGTACATCACTCAAGTCAGCAATTATATAGACTCTGACTCTCTTATAAATTGGTTTATTGCATTTCCTGCCTGTTGTTTCTTGGGACTCATCTCACATAGCTACTATACTTGTCTATTGAAATGGTGTTTTTGCTGCTTGTAGCTGATGGCAAGAGTGAAAATGAAGATCACTCTGTAGCTGTTGTCAAGGGCATGAAAGCTCGTAGCTTTAGCTTTGTGTGGTGATGGCAACTTAGAATAAGTCCTGGAGAGAAAGAGGCCTTTTCATGCATTTCTTGTTGTATTCCCTCTTACAGTGTCACTGTAGGGTGTTTGTTTGTTTGTTTTCTCCTTCCTGCCTTTAAATGGTGGGTTATAGATTTTTACTCTTACATTTGCCTCCCACATATCTGTACTGGTTTTGTATTTTTTCTTTCCCCCTTCCTCAGTCCTCTTTTTTGTTTTTTTTTTTTTTTATACTAATGTATAAACCCTACAAATTCAAACATTCTTCATATGGATTAAAAAAGAGCCTTTGAGAATTAATCTTTCTTTCTGTTTTGATTTCAGCCAAATCCAAGATTTATTGAACGAGAGGCAAAAAGGGATGAAGAGTTGTCTCTTCCTTGTTTAGCCTGGAGTAGCCAATAATCTTTTTTTTTTTTTTTTTAATGTAAAAGACCAAGGTTGAAGTGACTTGTTTGGTTGGACAAAGGCCAAAATGGTGCTTTGCAGTATCCTGTTTTCCCTTTCCCCTGCCACAACTGTTTAAGTAATTAACTTATTTTATAGATTCATTATTGCATGTGAACATACTCGCTGCAGCAGTCAATGTCTCTCATGTCCGAGTAACTCATTAAAGTAGAACTATTAAAACAGAAGGGAGTCTGCCATAGCCAGTTGTTATGCTCTTGCAAAGGGCTGGTAGGGTTGATCAGGGAGTGGAGAACTTGCTGAATGGAAGTCTTGAGGATTAGAGTTGTTTAGTTGAGCAAAATTAAGACAGAGAGGAAAAATGATGATTCTCTGTGAATGTATCAAGGGGTAAACATAGAGGGGGTAAAGGAACCACTTATGTGAAATAACATGCTGGCACAGTAAATATAAACTAGGAATTAATAAGTTGGACAGAAATCATTGAATAATAGAATGTTGTGAGTTGGAAGGGACCCACAAGGATCATGGAGTCCAACTCCTGTCCCTGCACAGGACAATCCCAAGATTCAGACCATGTGTCTGAGGGCCTTGGCCAAATGCTTCTGGAATCTTGTCAGGCTTGGTGCCATGAGCACCTCCCTGGGGAGCCTGTTCCAGTGCTCCACCACCCTCTGCCTCAAGAACCTTTTCCTCATGGCCAACCTCACCCTCCCCTGCCACATCTTCCTGCCACTTCCTCTGCTCCCGGCGTTGGTGGGTGGAGAAAAAAGATCAGTGCCTGCACCTCCTCCTCCCCTTGGGAGGAAGTTCTGGACCGCAATGAGATCTCCTCTCAGTCTCCTCCAGGCTGAAGAAACCAAGTGACTTCAGCCTCTCCTCATATTGCTTCTCCTCTAAGCCCTTCACCAATTTTGAAATATGTAAATAAAATATGTATGTATACTTCTAAGCATTGAAGCAGTCTGGCAATAAGCTTCTGACATGAATATAGTAGACAAAAGAAATCCAAGTCTTTGGCAGGCTTTATAATGTAGCACGTGCAGTAGCAAAGGACTGCTTTCAGTGAGTCCAAAGGTATCTTTGGTTCTATGAGCTGAACTAATCCTGCAAGATATAACAGTCCTGCAAGCAGGAGTGCAGCTTGGTGGGGCTTGGTCATATTCTGTTTGGCAAACCCACTTCTGCCATTCGGAAGGAGTCATCTCTGCATTTTGCCTTTCAGCAGGTTGTATGTTAGAGCTGTAAATGCCTGGTTTAATGCCCTGGATTTTTTAGTTTTGCCTCCAGCCTCCTGCTCCATACAGTTCTTTTTCTTTAGCTATATCTTCCTTTCTTTTGGCTATTTCTTTGCTTGAAACCATTGTCAAACTTAAGAGTCTGTATTGGCTCATTAAATACCTTGCATCATTTTTGGCAAAGAAGCAAGCAGGAAATTTCCACTTGAACAAGATCTGGATGAGCACAGAAGATTCTTGAAGCTGGCAATTAATTTAAATCCCTTTTGTTACCGCCTTTGAAACCTTGGGATCATATCAGAAAATGTGTTTCTAGCTCCCCTAGTGAGCTTTAAATCAACCAGACCTCAGTGAATAAAATGTGGCATTGTGATTTCTTGCCAAATTGAAAATAAAATGGTAACCAACTAAAAATTAATTTGTGCAATGAGAAACTCTCACAGTAGTTTAAGAAATCATTCTGTTTGTGTGATGCTTTATGACGTGACGGGCCATGTTTTGTATTCATTAATTTGGGTACCTTGATTTAAATCACTCTCTTGCTACCTAGGGTGCAAAGGAAACAAAATGAGACATAGGTTATCTGTGGCTGAAAGGAATGCCAGGAACACTGCAGTTGTGTCCTTAAAGATTATTACCCCCAGTGCCTACCAGAGCTGAGAGAGGGGTGGCATAATATACAGAGAGATAAATTCTCTGAGACAGAACATAGAATTTTACAACCTAAGTGTAATAGGATGTATTGTGCCATCAGCAAAGGCTACAGAGTTTCATGTGATTAAAATAAGAAAAGGGTCCAAGAATATGCCTTTAACTACCATTTCAGCTGCAATAATTTTTGTCTCTTGGCATTTATATTGGCCATCAAGAGGGAGGCAAGCTGTAAGCTGTGCCGTAATAATAATAATAATACGAATAATAATTAATGTTGGCTCTTCCCTCTTTCAATATACTTAAATTTCCATGTTTTGTTCTCAAAATAAAATATTCTCATGTCCAAAAATCTCCTATCTGTTTTCATGATAACTTGGAAATTTATTCTGAAATCTTGTTAGTCCTGTGTGTTGGTAGAGAGAGAGCTTTCATCAGTAAATTCCCATTAGAAGGACACTAATGGCTATAAAAATCAGAGAAGGCTAATGAAAGAGAATCCCATAGGTAGTTAGGGTTTCTTTTTCCCATCTTATTATGTTTGCTATCCTCTTTTGGAAATACAGATCCCCCTGGGCTAGGAGCCACTGAAAATCTTTGGGTTTTTTTTTAATTTTAATAGTCTGTATTATCCCAAGTCCCTTGATCACTATATTACAGTTAAGAATAAGAAGGGAAATTACCAATAATTGTCTTGCTGTTTGTGAAACGCATACCACTGTCTTCAGGGAAAGCAGCTACATTATGGTCTGATAGAAGGGAGGAACTTTTAGCAGTAATCTTGCCCCTTACCACATTTTCTTCGCTACCCACCTACTGCCTTTATTCCTCATCTATGCAATGTTCTTGCAAATGAGTGTTATTTCACACTGACTGCATTTTGCTATCAAGGTCTCATCAGAGAGCAATTCTGAAACAGAGAAAAGTGGTCAACTGGTCTACCACGACCTTATCTAGATTAGAGATTGGGGTACTCTTTGTCATTTGTGTGGGGCTGGACTTGTTGAACATAGGGAGGTTGTTTTATCTGTAAGAGATGTTCAGTTCTACCTGTGCCCTCCTTCAGCTGTTGACCTAAACCAGTCCAAAAACAAATGGTATTTCACAAAGACAAGAGGCATAAGAGGTTGATACAAATTGTGCCTTTTGCAGCAGTTCTTTTCGTTAGAAATGTGATTCTTTTGGAGATACCCCTAGGAGGTGTGAATTAGATCCAAGTCAATCAAAAAGAATCTGACTGTAAAACATCCAGGTAATTCGTGTGGGATACAGAACAAAATTCTACTTGAGAAGGGAAAGTAGGAGGTGGATAGGGAAAATCAATCTTTTAAATAACCCTAAGCATGGCGGACTAGCTGGTAGCATTTCATACACACTTCTTTCTCATGTCTTAATCTGCCAGATGTTTTCTAAAGATTTTGAGTGAACATTGTGGGCCTGTTCTTCTTTAAAAAGTTTATTACTTGTTCTTTTTTCTTTTTATTTCTCTCATCACAGCTCTTACAGCTTTTTCTACTCTCCACCCAGTTTCCTACTGGTTTTGTCCCTGTTTTGAAACAGCTTTATACTTGGTTTGCCTCAGCTGCACGCAGCCTGGTTTTTCCGAGTCCACAAGTACCCTGTGGTGCTCAGCAAATATGAAAATCATCCAGTGTGAGATGGAAGCCCAGAGCAATGTTCCCCTGGATTAGCACCATTATAACTTTTCTCAATCTGCCTTCATTTACATTTAAATCTGTGTACTACGTACTGCATGTTTAAGAAACTTGGCAACTTTTTATTTACGTACGCATGGTGGCTACCTTAGAAGTTTACTTCTCTGTCACATTTGAAGTAAAAATTAGTTCAGTGCACTTAATCCAGAAATGAATGTACCTATCTGTCACGTCAGAGTAGCGATGCATTCAGGTTTAAGCTGCCCATACAATCCACAGTAGACAGGAACAATTTGCAAAATAAAATTTTTAAATGCCCTCTGTCAAACCAAAAAGCTTAGATCTAGAACACACTTAGATCTAGAACAATTTAGCAGGGAGAAGAGAAGCAATAAGAATTAGCAAGCAGCTCTGTTTGGGCAGGTGATTTCCTGTATATACATGAAGTACCTGTTGGTTTATGCAGGAGGGTGAGTTCAGACGGGAGATTCGAGAGGATAGAAATTATTTCTGACAAGAAATATTTCTACCTCAGAGAAAATCAGTATTCAAATCTACCATCCTCATCACCATACAACGTTCAGTTAGAAATGTAGATAGAGTAACTCTGCAGAGTGTGTAGTTTGTGAGCTGGGGTTAGTGGGGTGCCATGCTGCACCGGCTTCCACTGTCCCTGCTCCTGAAGGCTTCCTGTACCTATGCAGCCACTTCCAGAGGGCTTGTGAAAAAGCTACAATCTCTAATTTTTGAGGAATCTTCTAGAGGAATTTTGAAGGCCAAAATGAGTAATTTTCAAGCAATCAGTCAGAAACCAACAAATGAATTCCATTTTCTATGAGCTTTGATGGCATGATCAAAGTGACATGCTCAGTTTAGGTGAGTCTGTTCCTCCTCTCTCTTCCAAATGTGGGATCTCCAAACCAGGTATATTTCTTAGGACTTATCCAAAAGGAACAGCATACATTTTCACTATTTGCCTCTTCCTTTTCAGAGGTGTCCATGGCCACTTCAATGGTCAGCGCCCATGGGCTTTGGCAGATGAGTGCATCCTGGACCTGATGGCTGAGCTGGTTGGTAGGTGTGAACTGCAGGGAAAATATTTCTCTAGAAATGGAAATATATATTTTTTTTTTCTTTTAAGACTGAAACTCTGTGACTAGGATTTAGTTCTTTGTATTCTTTTGTTTTAAAGTAGTTTTTCTGCCTGCCTTGTGCAGGGACTAACACTCTATTTTAAGGCTGCAAGTGATTTGAGATGAATGTATGCGATAATATATGAGCATATGCATATCATGAAACTAATTGCAGCAAAGGGTTTCTTGGAGCATCATAAACCACTTGGTCTAACATATGAAGCCCTTTTAAAGGGCACTTGGCAGTAGAGATTCTCAATCTCTCTCCTAGAAGTAAATCAATGAACTTTCCCCTTTGAAAAATGATTTCTATCTAGACATTTTCTGCTTTTCCTCCTTTCCCTGCCACTAATCCAGCCTCATATTTGAGAACTGCTTATGTCAATGAAGCAGATAATTGGGGCAGGACCTGCTATTTGTAAGATCCCATTACCCTGCTCTACTCCTTGAGAAGTCTGTGGTGCGGCAGGACCTTGGCAGTAAATGCATCTGGTTATTCTGGAGAATAACTCCTCTGAGAAGGAGCCTTGGAGACTTCTCCTGGTGAGTTTGCCAGCCATGAAAACAGTTCTTTGACTCTGAATGTAAATTTCCTCTATCTCCTCTTACTCCAACCTGTGTGTAGTTGCAGAAATAAACTTTAACTGGGATTCCTTCAGAGTTGTTGCTGTGAGAAGGGAGAAGAGGAATGATCTTGTCAGGGTCCCTCACAGACCCTTTTTCTCCTCAACCCTTACAGCCATTGTCAAGGCTAAGTTAGTGAGATCTGGCCAGTATTTCAATTTAGCTGTTGAAGATAATTGTCAATACTGACTGTCTGAACTGAATTATCATGTGTTCTTTTGTGCCTTCACTAAGGAAAAATATTACAGTTAAGTTGACCTACTGTAAGCTAGATATTGTTTTGTGATTTCTGCTCCAACAATAGACAAGAGTTCAATGAGAAAGTTATGGTTTTTCTCCTTCAAGAGAAGCAAGTGAGGTCTTAAAAACTGCAAACAGAGACATTAAGGAATGTTTTATGGCAAGTTTATATATAAACTCAATTTCTGGCTTCTTCATGAAGTTTCCAGATAGCTAAAATACTGGACATGATTATTGGAGCAGAGCAAATAGATGAAAATAATGTTATAGTTGGTCTATCCATGATGTAAGCACTAAGACAACAAAAATATCAGTGTGGCTACACTGGGCATCACTGGGCTATGCAGAGTGAACTCATCTGCAGAATGAAATAAAAACCAAAATGCAGATTGGTTGTTCTGATTTTGGAAGTTGCTACAGTAATACCTGTTATTACTCAGGTTAACAAATTACTTTTTTTGCTTTCATTACATTCAAGAGCAAGCTCAGTCCATTCATCTGTTAACCATCATAGACCATAAAAATGTGAGAATGTAAAGGGCTGGAGGATGTTGAAATGCTGAACAGAGCTGATTTAAGGATTTCTCTAGTTTGACTGATCTTTCCTGGCAGGTGGATGTTCTCCTTCTGGTAGGGTATAACTGAGAAGCTGTGGACAGGTGTGGAGATGTGATCTGTCACACAACTAGCCCGATGCATAGTAAGGGCTTTTAAATTGGAAACCTTGAATGTAATTAACTGTAGGGTAGAGAATTTATCTTATGTCTTATGAGAGTAAGAAAGCAGTCATACTACCTGCTTTCAGGCCCTTAAATTAGTGAAGAAACAAGGCAGACCACTGATGCTCTTCACATGACCAGGAGAGAGAGCCAAGATGTCCCAAAGGACAGCTTGAAGTACCTAAAATATCAACCTCCTCTGCATCACCTTCTGTGAACCTTTGCCACTGCTCTGTTAGCAAAACGTGGGCCTTCGTGAACTCCCTGCAGAGTGTTGAGGTGGGATGAGCACCGACCTCCTGCCAGTGCTGCTGCTGGGGTCAGTTTGGCCTCAGCTTTAGGTTAAGAGTCACTGCAGCAAGCAGGGAGTCAGGCTGGGATTTTGTTCCCCTTAACCATCTGTCTTGGAAAGGCTGCCAGCTCAGTGGGTATTATAATATTTAACTAAACATTTAACTAAAAATATTCTGTGAGGGAAATGAGAGCTTTGCTTAAACTTTATCTAATTTCTTATCGGGTTCTCCATTTTTCTTTTCCAAACTCTGTATGACACTGGTACTTTATCACAACGATCAGACTACACTGAACTCATTACAACTGTGTTCATTTTAAACATATATTTTAAAGTTTTCTATTAAAAAAATAGGTTACCCTACCATTAACCTACTTTTGTTTTCAAAATTCTTTGTTGGAAAGGGTTTCATGGCATGTTGTTTTCGTCACCAGTAAAGTGCATGTCAACATTATCGGTTTGGATTTTGTTCTCTGAATGTTTTGGACTTTGTTTAGTTGAACTATGAAGTGTGGTTTGGGCTCAAATCTGGCCTTCAGATTCACATGCCAGCAGGATTTTATTTATAAAACATCCTCATAGCTTTTTTCAGGACCTTGATGTGTGATTCTTAGAATGCAAATAAATTAGTATTTCCCAAATAATGAATGCATTTTAATAAAATCTGTTCTTTAAAAATATAGATAAAAATGAAGAGGCTAAGAGAATAAATGCAGGAAAAATGTTGTGTTAAAATGCTCTCTTCCAACATGATATTTACGATTAAGTACTCTTTTCCAGCAAGGTGAAACACCAAGTATGTATGAGTTGAGTGAATTCTGAATTTCCTTTTTTGTTAATGTAATGTAAGAACATAACAGAATTTTATCCCATTTTTTATTCAATTTTTAATATGTTATGGAAGAGCAGGAATTGTCATTGCTCACTTTAAGTAGTAATAGTAAGTAAAAATTATTTGGTGAGATTTATTTTGGCTTGGACTAAAGACTGTAAAATATCTTTGTCCGTTTAATGGTTTATAGTGCTATAACACCTTGCTTATTAAATGCAGTCACATTTTCTTGTTCAATGAAAGTTACAGTAGTAAATACATTCTGAAATGCAGAGTCAAGGTCAGTGGAGGCCAAAGCTTTTTTTTTTTCTATGTTCACGCCGAGTGGCATAGCACGGTGACGGTAATCTCAACTTCTCCTACCAGACTTTATTAAAACATTACAACCTTGGCAGGATCACCTTCTGATGGAACAAGATTAACTGTGTGGCTGCTGCTGTACGATGCGCTCAGGCAGGTCTCTGTTGAGGGAAGACTGAATGCCGGGCAAATTTGTAGTGACTTTGAGTGATAAGGATTATTTGAAATAACCAAACTATTTTCAGAATTGGGGCATTTAGCCTTTTTTTTTTTTTTTTTTTTCCAATCATTTTAAAAAATGTTTTTTACTTACTCTGGTGAGGATCAGGCTCTCACTGCAGTCAGAGAGGAGAAGGATGGCAGTGTCTGCCTAACGCAATCATAATTGTCTCTGAAGCTGTACTTTGCAAATGCTGCTTCCTTTTATTAAAGAGGAGATTTATCAAGCAGAACATACAGGTTTTAGCCTGTCTTGGAGATATGGTATAAATTTAGGAAATAAAGAAAGCAAACATAATTTTGTCTCCTGTGTGCAGGGTCTTTGAATATTGTAATAGGTTAATTGGATCATAGAAAGGTTGTTTTCTGAAATGCAGTGCAGGTTATAAAGGATAACAGTTTTCCAATGACACGGATGAGGCTTGTTTTGTGGGCATGAAATTCAATAATGGAAAGCTTTTAATAAATATATAATTTATGGAAGACCAAGACTTACATGACAAATGTAGTGTCATATTTAATTTGGGATGCTAGCATGGAGCTAAAAGTGATCTACAGATTAACCATTTGTTTTATATGGAAACAGCACAGCAGGCAGAAGATTGCTCATGCAGAATTTGCTGTGAAAGCCACAGATTTCATGGCAGGAGCAGAGGGAGAAATAAGAACAATACTATTTTTTGATGCTATCCCTTTTTTCAGCCTCAAGAGTTCCATAGAAATATTAAGACTGCAAATAATACTGTTTTTAGCTGCAATCACTCTCTCTAGCTGTCTTCTGTATCTGCAATAGAAAGGCACAAGGTGACCTCTTCCAGCAGCATGGAGCCTGCAGATGCAATGCCATCAGAGGGAAGAAAAGAAAGCAAAGGAGAGCAGTTTAAGTGAAGAAAAGAGCTTATTTTTCCTTATGAAGGCCTAGGTTCATTTATAGTTCTTCCCACAAACTTGGTGATATTACTGGTGTCTGGAGGAGGGAACTTATTCATGACATCTCTTTTTCCTTCTGGCTCATCCCCTGGACAGGTCCTCCAGAGTCACTGACAGCTATTGACAGATCTTTCTGTCCAATACTTACAGATTTCAGCAAGATGAATTGAATACCTCAGTCAGAACAGTTCTTGGCTTTTCCTGTGGTGGCAGAAGTTGAGGCCTGCCTGGCAAAGATTTATGAATAAACCTTTCCTAATTGTAGATTTCCGTGTTCTTTGGCTGTATTTGCTTGTATTGAGTTCAACCCATGGTTATGTCCTTTTCTTAGGCTGGCAAAGTCATAACTCCATGAACCTAAACTTTGTGGGATATGTTGGGAGTGTCTCAGTGCTCTTGCTGCCTTACCCCTGTGTTGGTTGAGACCTTGTGTGCCTTCCAAGGCAGGGACAAGAAAAACCCAGGATTTGCTTCTTTGTTTCTTGTGACTCTCCTTACCCTTTTTACTCCAATATAATGTTATTCTTTCACTCTTTCTCAATCTCAAGGGTTGCTGTTGCCCTACCTGCCTGCTTACACTTGTCTTCATCCCTCCTTATCTGCAACCTCTTTCCTCCTTTGGCCAACTCCACTTCTTGTGTGATGACTAGGCCAAGGTGCGTGAACCCATCTTCCAGCTGAAGAAGGCTCTCAAAGCACTGATTTGTGTCAAGGGTGAACTACTGCTTTTCAACAACAGACATCAGACAAAAAAGAAAGAAAGGAATTGATTTTCTATATATCGCAGTGTTACCCTGTCCAACGCACAGTCTCTTGTCCTGCCTAAAACCTTTCACCAGTGGTTGATAAAATTTGAGAATTTGTTACTAAATACTTTGTCATAACAATTAGTTGTTACTCCATTAGCTCTGCCCATGATTAGCTGTAGCCAAAAGGCATCTGTTATTAGCCTCTTTGGAGCTATGTGGGTTTGGTTGCTTCTTGTGAAGTTGTTACATTAGTAATGGTCTGTTATATTCAATAGGTCAATTTTGCTTGGGTTTTTTTTATTAAGGATGAGATTTAGCTTGACATTACAGTAAGCACTTACAATAGATGATTGTCTCAATATATTTTCTGACTTATTTTACATACAAACTTATGACAAATACAAGCCTGCAAGTCTTTTATGTATAGTCTTCTGACCTGATTTTTTGTCTGAGGTATTAATGATAATAAATCCACTGGTAGTTTGCTGGGAAATTGAAATACTTAATTGTTTTTTTGTTTTCTGTGTCTGACCTGAAAAAATAAATATTTTCCTGCCAGTGTGGTGAGTCAGACAAGAAATCTTTTTACTTCACTGTGATGACACCTCAAACGTTTGTTTACTTTCCAGTCTTTAGAGAGACATTGACTGAAAGCGTGCTTTTGCTTTCTTAACACTGTACTAGATTTCTCTGAAATTATAAAGAAAACTCCTAAACAGGGTTTTATTATTATTATTTTTTTTTTATTATTATTTCAGGGGCCGGAAGGCATGAAGTAGCTTTAATGAATGGGCTAACTGTTAACTTGCACCTCCAGATGGTATGTTTTTACAATGTTTATTTGATGTTGTGTCGACAAGTATTACAAGTATTTTTTTCCTTTCTTTGTGAATGTAAGCAAAATGTTTTCTGAGGACCTCACAAAGGTAAGCACTGGATGATAGCCTAACTTTTATTAAGCCTTGGGAGTGGTGTCTTTAACGATGCTTTGGCTTGTGCAAGGCCTGGCTCCACTTAATATTAAGCAGAAAAGCTGGACTGAGAAATATTTTCAAGGACTCTGTAAGGAAAGTTTGAACTTTTCTTGCATGTGCTGCATGTCAGTCCTCAGAAAAGATATCTCATTTAAGAAACATTTCCAGATAACTTTTCAGTTTGGAATTTCACACCAAATTTCAAAGTTTAATAAACAAGAGCTCCACTGTGAGCAAGATAAAACTGTAATTTGAGTTGAACATAAAATGCGGTTGCATACAAGAGGTGGCATTTTGAGTTGTGCTGGTTTATATTCCCCTAAAATGTGGTAAAGCATCTGTTTGTGGTTTTTATGACATAGTTGCTATCGATGTGGTTTCCTTTTGAGCGACTCTGCTGTTACATGTAGTCTGTCTCTGATTCTATAGTCTTACCAAGGACTTGGTTCAACAGAATGAAGACATGAATCTTCATTTCTGTGGTTCACACACAAAGATTTGTCACTTGAATCCATTCCTTTATAACAAGTCTCTGACCTTTGTTAAATTAAGAAACCTGAAGCAGAGCAGGATGAGGTTAAGTACAAACTAATTTACCTGACTGCTCTGCCCTGAATTAGGTGCAACACAGCCAGAGTTGTGCCGAATTTCTTGGGTACATAGCCCATGCTGAGCTCTGTATAACTACTGCTAGCATGAACAGGAGGGCTTGTAAGTCTTCTCCTGGTCCTCTGAGTGTGGTGGCAAGCCCATCTTGCCTCCATATGAGAATCTGAGAAGGAAAGGCAATTCAGCTAAAGGTGCTGAGATTAGGTCTTTGCAGAAGGCTTAATCCTTTGGTCAGGCTTATTTCAGAGGATGGGATGATTTAATAACTAATGTTTTAGAGCAGGAA